TTTTGTAACACAAAATTTTTGTGTATTGTAACACAAAAATTTTCAATAATTGAAACACCATTGCAACAGCATATTCTTGAGACTAATCAAGTAAAAAAGTCCTGTACTACTTTTCCCTCCGACAAACAGTTATTGAGAGATTATAAGCTAAACATTGAAAGAGTTATAAATTTTCTCTTGAGAATCTCAAAAAGTATTAGGCAAATCAAAAAATGATTCAGACAAAAGTTGTTCATATTAATTAGTAGAATAAGATAGTGTAATAAACAATAGGGAGTTCCATTTAAAAAAATGACGTCGACCTCCATATAACCATAAAAAATTAATTTTTTTCGAAAATTTATTTTACCATTATATAGACCTTTTAAAACCGTATAACTTTTGTCTGAAGGACTTTTCCGTATCTCCCATATCTGTCGAGATATTTCACCGGTCCGGTACTTTTTCCCTTTTTCCATCGCGTGTACAAAGGTAGAAAGAGGAACTAAGACGCTCGAAGAAATGCGTGAAACAAGGACGATAGATGCAGCATACCCAACTTGCCAACGCTAAATGTTTTTTACTTTTCACGGTTGATAGCCCTGGGAATCTATAGCCGTCGCAAAGCAAAAGTAGGCGTGGTTTAGCCGAACTGAGCACACCATGTTATCCCTTCCACCATGGCACACCATGTTATCCCTTCCACCATGGTCAGTGATGCTAGCTCGGGGCCGAGCGTCGAGCGCACGCGTATATGCGGCGTGTCGCCTGTGTGCGTGCATGCGCGCGCAGACGTGCTATCCCCACCATCGCGACAGCGATGTAGCTGGTAGTCCAAGCTAGCATCACTGACCATGGTATTCATTCGTGTGCACTTTCTTGAGTGATATCGTTGAAGTCAGACGAACTGTGCTAACAAACTTGTGGTGGACAACTGTGTGCCCCAGACATCGTAGATCACTACAAATTCGTGCAGCAGCTGTAGAATGGTGAAGCACTACGTTGCAGATTTACCATCGGAGAGAAATACTAATTCCGTTGTGAAAGAGACACAGGGCTGGAGTTATGTAGAAATGGAGAACATCAGCTACAAGTGGACGCTATATAATTTCCCTCATACGAACCAGTGTGAGATCGGGTCGAGTATATTTTCTACCACCGACGAGTCAAAATGGTGTCTGGTAGTAAAATTATTTTCTGGCATGGACTACACCTGCCTGTCGTTATATCTTGTTCTTATTTCATCTAAGAAACGTACAGTCCCAGCAAAGTTCAAATTGTCTTTTCTTAATGCCACAGGGAAAGTATTACATACAAAAGAGAGCAGTTCTATTTGTGAATTTATTAATTATTGTACTAATAAAGCTGACTGTACTCTCATTCAGTCTGGATTGGATGGACATCGTTCTGATTATAATTATTGCCAACACAAATTTGATAAATGGGGCTATGAGAACTTTGTCTGTTTCAATACTCAAGCTAATGGATCGCTAGTGAATGCAACAATATTATGTGAGATCAGCCTAGTAACAGACACGAGAAATATCTCTGACCGAAGTCGTGCAGTATGGTTGGAAGTATCGGAGTGTGAGGTGCTCAACAACTTAGGACTGCTGTTGGAGAACGAAAAATTTTGCGACGTAACGCTTACTGTTCGTGGAAAGGAGTTCCAGGTGCATAAAGCAATTCTCGTAGCACAAAGTCCCGTCTTCAACGTAATGTTTGAAAACGAGATGAAAGGGAAAAAAACTAATCAAGTGGACATCGACGATATGGACCCCGAAGTCCTGGAAGAAATGTTGCGATTTATTTACACTGGTAAAGCGATGAATCTGGAAAAGATGGCGGACGGTTTGTTAGCTGCGTCGGATAAGTACCAGTTAAATACACTGAAAGTATTTTGCCAGGAAGCCCTTTGCAAAAGTTTAACTATTGAAAATGCGGCCGAGATCCTAATACTTGCCGAACTCCATAGTGCCGATCAGCTAAAAGCAAAAGCGATAGATTTTATTAATACATATACGGATGTGATGGACACGGCAGGTTTCAAGTCCATGAAGAAATCCTATCCGCACCTGATAATAGAAGCTTATTATGCTATACGAACCAATCCACCGACCGGTTTCAGCAGAAAAATAAACAAAACCAGTGGCTGCTGATTGCACTAGGTACCCTGCCGAAAATGGTCGATTAAAACCGATTAAGACAAAAAGTAATCCAAATAGATCGGGATTTCTGCACCGAAAATACGGTATTAAAACCGATTGAAAATATACATCCACCTCAATCCGATATTATACGATTTCATCAAATCGGTTTTAATGCGATGTGAATCTGTCGGAAAACGACAAAAATAATCCGTTACTAGTGGAAATTCGACGATTTTGCGAATTACATTGCGATACACAATTAAAAAAAGTGTTAAATGTCTTGCTTATATTCATGTAAACTTTATTTTATTTTAATTATCACATTCTACAAATTATGCAAAACAGGTCCGCGCGTGTATCTGAAACAAGACTAACGCGAAAGAACGATCGTGCAGCCCGCAGATTCCAACCCAACGAGATAAGACGGAGCGGAGAGGAAGGTCGGGCCCGCTTGAGGCCAAGCATTGTTTGCTCGGGCCCTTTAAACGTCGTTTAAAGCGTGACTCCCGACAGCCCGGAAAGGATCGTCTTAACGAGGAGGTTTTGGGACAGAGACGGACCAGGTCAACTCTCCTACGCTTCACGGGTTACGGCCACGAGCCGTTGCCCCCTCGCGTTTCTCCCAAGAATCGGCCGCCCTTCTCGTCGTACAAAGAAAAGGCAAAAGGTTGCCGCTTCTCGCAGCTGATCCCTCAAATCATATTACGCGATCGTCGAGGATAAGCCGGTCCACCAATCACGCCTCTCCCTGACTCGCAAGGAAAATCGCTTACGCCAATCTTCGTGACTGCGGCTTCATCGCGACTTGGAGTACGAAGGGATTAAGCGGCTAAATATTTTAACAAGTCGAATCTCGGGCTTTCGTTATTTCATTTTATTTTATTCGAGATTTTATTCGATCCATTGATTTTGTTTAGAAATTATTAGTAATAAACGTTATATTCTTATATATTTGTATTAATACATTTGTATTACGATGAATGAATTTCGGGCGAGTATTCGTAAAAACGATTATCTTTGTCATCGTCGCTTTGTTCATCAGCCTCTTCGCTGCTTTTATTTTTCTTGCTTTTGTTTTCATCGCTGTTTTGTCGTCGCTTTTTCGCATTTTCGTTTGTCTTTTCACGCCAATTTTTCTTGAAATCAGCAAGCTTTTTTCCCACGTAATAATAAAATTTCGATAATTCTGTCATAGTATTGTCTTTGTGAGGAGTGTCAGCAAATTGCTTTTTGTACGTGTTATTTATCCAATGCTTGTACATATCTGTATAAACAAAAATAAAAATGACAATATACTTTAGCTCAGTACTATATATTCTTAAAAACAAAACATTAAATTAACATAGTATTCTCAAACGATTAATTATAAAACGATTACTGATAACTATAATATTCCATTGATTTTGTTTAGAAATTATTAGTAATAAACGTTACATTCTTATACATTTGTATTAATATTATATGTACAATTAAACACGTTTTACCTTCACAAGCCCCCAGTTTCTTTTCGTCCAGTTTACTGCATGGTCTTTTTTCACCGTGTCGTGAACTAGTGTATCGTGTAATGGTGCTAGTCATGAGCAATTTATCGTCGAAAACAGAAAAAATAATGTTACTTGCAAATTGACGAGGAGTTTTCGACGAGTTGCACACTCTGTTATAGTGGATTTCACTAATCCATTCGTTTCGCCCAATGTGAATCTATACAGGGTGTCTGATGCAAAAGTAGCAACTTTGAAAATAGTGGTAGATTGGGTTAAACTAAGGAGAAATATCATGTACTGCGGTACAAAGTAACATTAGTTATTGAGTAGTAAATTTACACGTTTGAGCGAATGAGGATGCAGGAGACGGTAGGCCGGACTCGGAAGGCATTGAAAAAAATCGCTCGATGAGCGGGAGGTGGAGCGACGC